CAATGTAGAATGCTCTGTATGAGGACCAGAGACAGCACCTGGCTGGCCACAGAGGCTTAAATTCTGCATTCTGCAAAACCTTGTTCAATGGTAAATGGACCACAGAAAGTTCAAAATACCATGTCAGACGTCTTTTTGAATGCAGCAAGTATCGTTTTCATTCAGCTAATATTCGCAATACTCTGTCTTCCCCTTTGTTCCAAAATTGTCCATGGTTAAAGTAGCATAAATATAAAGGAACACGCTGAAATAATACATTCTAGTAAGCCAGGGGATGCTTCACACAAAATTCTTAGCCTCTGTAATATTAATGACTTCAAATAGACCTTCCAACCAGCTTCTAAATTTTCCAGAAGGAAACACTGTCAATCCATATGCAACTGGGTCATTCTGTTTTGAAACAAGCATGATTAAATCCAATCTCTTGTTTTACACCAACATGCTGTTACAGTTTTCAGTTGCATGAGCGTAAACCAAATGTTTTAACATCAGTTGCTTTAACAGAGATATTATAGCCACACATAGGAAGATCAACCTGACCAGACCATTAAGATCTTTTTTTTTTTTGCAGATGAGCTCTCCCCACACTCTCCAGCTATAGTTATTACAATCTGCAGTCTAATGCCAAATCCTTTTAAGATGGCCAACGTTCTCTACTGAGCACGCTTCTCAACTCCTCTGCTCCAGAAGCAAAGATTTACCCCTATTCAAGCACTACTTTGGCACACCATTTGAATTCCAGCTCCCAGAATACACATTTATCTTACCATTATTTAGAAGAGAAGTAAAACTCCATTACAAGGAGGACGGATCAGTAACTCTGTAATGGGTTTTGAATTTAGAATGACAGGTTCCAACATTTTTTTTTTCCCCCCAGGCTAGTTCACTAGATTACACTTGGGAATTGCTTTATCCTCTGTACTTTCCAGGAACAAACAAACAAACAAACAAAACCAAAAAATAAAACAAACAAACAAAAGCTCTAAGCCTGCATAGAATGAAATACAGCCCCAAGAATTGTCTTGGGGAATATTGCCCCAGCAGGGTCACCTTTAAGATTGTGGAACACTTTTTAGTCAACATTGCTTCTAATAGTGCGGAAAAGAGGCCCCTCAGTGCAGGTAAAGGAATTATGAACAGAAAGATCTTACACAGCATGAACAGCTGAAGCAATGAGCAGTAAGATCTCCTGATGTGGAGGACAGACTTACTGAAAACAGAAAATGTATTTACTTTTCTAGATGCCCAGAATCTGGACTTTCAGAAGATGACTATTTGCCATAGGAAACAGGAATTTTCTGTTCTTCATACAGAAAATGGGATTAACTACAAAAAAATTGGATGTCAAGCAGCCATCGGTCTGGCTCTTTGGGCTCTTCTGAACTCAAGGACCATGGCCCATGAGCCCCATGGATCAAAACCTTTAAACAATAATGCTCATCAGTGACCTATGTTAGTGACCAAAGGAAGGCCTTTTTGTTGCAAATGAGCAACAAAGCTCTGTTGGCACAACTCACCCTGAGAACCTCTCTGCAGATGTATGCAATCCAATCTTCCTTGAAACAGTTCCCTTTTGTCTTCTTTACCAGGTCAGTGACAGAGCCCGCACCACAGTACTCCATCACCAACTGCAGGAAGAGAAACGCAATACACCTTTACCACCGCGCTGACAGGGTGCCAGCAGATACCATGTGCAAACACCCACTCCACCACAATCAAGGTGTGGCAAACTACACGCGACCTTCCCGGATGCCAAGTGACATAAAATCACATTTCCTGAATCACACACATTGCTGAATAAATAAAAAACCTCAGTAGTGCTCCTCTCCTATTGCAGGTTAGGGGTACTTTTTTTTTTTTTTTTTTTTTTTAGAAACTACAAAATCAGAAAAACAAGAGCTAATAGCACTGAAAAACAAGGAAATTTTTTCAAAATTTGAAATTTCTCATTTTGCTGCAGAGCTTCAAAAATCTTGCAGCCAAAAAAATTGGAGGATTCATTTTTCTTCTTTGCTTTATTGCCAATTCCTCTGTTCCCTTTTTAATTTTCCAACTGAAAAAAGGAGAGGAAAGCAACAAGAAAAGAGAGGAGGGGAAGAGGACAAGCTCTCTTTCACGTTCATTAAAAAAAAAAAAAAAATTACAGAAACGTTTAATTTGGGGGGAAAAAAAAAAACCCTCGAACAGCAAATCAGAATGACAGCACAAGTCACAACTTTATGCCCATCCTCAAAGGAAATCACAGGGGATGGAAGACGTGTAGGGAAAAAAAACAATTTTTCTCTTTTATATGTTATTCTTCAGAACAATGACTTCAGAGTTTACTGAGACAGAGTCCAAGCCAAGCATACTGGAGCCCTAAAGAAAGGAGCTGTAAATCTGATGAACAGAAATGACACTAAATACTTACCCAGAGCTGGTCGTCTTGGCCTGCAGGACTTTTCTTTACAAATGCGCCATAATATGTAGCAATATTCCGGTGATGGGAGTACTTTTTTAGCATATTTATCTCCAGCTTGATTTCCTCCTCTTCATTCTGCAGCACAAGAGACCAGAAGGCTCCTTAGGTGACCAGAGGTCACTGAGCTCCAGGGCTGCCCAGAGCTCAGGCCAACCCCTGCCTTCGGGGGCTTTCAACACCCAGCTGGAACCAGCCCTGAGGAACCTGGTTTGATCCCATGGCTGACCCTGCTTTGAGCAGGAGGTTGGACCAGAGACCTCCTGAGGCTCCCTCCCACCTGAGTCATCCTGGTGGACCGACGACCATCAGCCTAAAACAATGAATTGCTAGGGTTTGACCTAAAGAATCAAAAATGTCCCGATTTGGGTATAACGATCTCGTATTGTCTCCTCAGGGGCCTTAGACAGGACCTGTTACTCCCCCGTTGCGGTTTCTGTATGCAGTAATTCAGTCTCGGAGAAATTAACCAGATTCAAACAAAAATAAAAACATTCCTAACACTCCATTACTTAAGTACTTGGAAAAGCACTTAGTGCACACATCAGCCAATTTGTCTTCCCAGTCCCGTGGAGGGTCTTGCCCGGAGGAAATCAAAGCCAAGAAGGAGGCAACTCGCCACAAATCAAACTCCAGAGCCAGCGCAGGGTTAGGATCTGCTCCCTCCTTCCAGCTGTGAGGCTACCCCACCTGGACCATGGAGTTTTCTCCCCTCTCCTAACATCAAGCCATCAGTTAAGTCTCTGGTGTGCTGGGGGCTAGCACACCCCTAGACATCTCCTTCCAGCTAGCTCTGTTTTCCCACTGTCTTTGTTTCGGTCTCTTCAGGGCAGGCCTTCGCTTCTGCCCAGTACAGCACCGTGCACAATAAGACAACTAATGGAAACACAAGTTTTAATATTACACTAGAAGGAAAGCCCTTTTTCAGAGAGAACTGCCTGATCTGAAGAGGTCCTCTCAGAGCTAGCCTGCTTGCGATGTTGCCACCACGAGAATGGTGCACAATACCCAGTGAAACGCGTGTAGATTTTGCTGTCTCATTTGCTTTACTAGGAAATGAGTGCTGCAAGGTACCCTTGTATCGGTTGAAAGGAGTATGACAACGCTGAAAATTAATTTACCTTGCTGCAAGACATCCCAATCAGCACTTACTAGCTGAAGGGAAAAAAAGAGGCAGCAAGAACAGCTCAGCCCCACAGGACATTTTTCTGCACTTCTCCACTATTTTCCAGTAGCTTTGCCACCGAAGCCAAATTCCCTCAAGCAAATGCATATGATGCTTCTTATTACATCTGACCACACAAAAATCATTCCCAACAGAACAGAAGGGACCAGTAAGTTTTCCCCAGTAACATCAATCCACAGGAGACATGTTACCAGACCAAAGCCTAATTGTCTTAAGCTTTAGGAAATGGGAAATGTAAAGTAACTCCACTTGAGGCAAAATGAGCTACTTCAGGTTTCAGAACAGCCCCTTTGTTGAACACAGGCTCTCAAGCTGCACACATTCACTAGATATTTCATTTATCTTTTGTTTGCAACTAAGGAGAAAGAAGGACCCTTAATCCTCTGCTTGACACAGCCCTGGATGTTGTATGGCTTAATTAACGAGGGTAAGGAGGAGCCCGGTGCAGCACCTGGGGTCTCCAAGAGAAATCAGAGCTGACTCCCAGACAGCACGCAGGAAATCCTCCGTGAGCAAGGTCCCATTTCTCTCTGCACGTAGCCAGGGCACAAACAAAGGGAGCTGAGAGCTTGTGCTGATGCCTTCTGGGGGAGGAAACAAGGCTCTACCGCCTTTGGGACTCCAAACAGTGCACGTGAAAGGGTGGAAACAGGCAGGTGAGGAGAAGGAGGCAGAGAATAAGGAGATGGGAACCACCATCCCGGATCTGACCACAGAGGTCCTGTCACTGATAGGAGTCTCTGGTAACGGATCTTTAGGGAAGAAGGGCAGAAAGCGGGACAAACAGGGAGGACTCATTTCCTCCCCTTGCTGTCCCTCCTGCATCCTGCCCCCTCCTGCTAAGGCAACCAAACATGTGGAGGGGCAACATTAATCTTCCGTAAAGGCCTTCCCCAAATTACTTAAGATCTCTTCAGATCTTAAGGGTTTGGGTTTTTTTTTAAACTCTGCCCATCTGCATGACCTTTGCACTGGTGGAGCCTGACTGGAGAGCTTCCCTGCTATGCCCTCAGCACCAGCCTGCAGCTTTCACAAACTTCCCCCCGGGGAGCCGGCAGACTTCAACCACTTCCTCAGAGCTGGTGCCTCTTTTCCAGCTCTTCTTCCTTTGCCCAATTAATTTACTGGATGTTGGAACCATGCTGGCACAGCTCTTATCTGAGTACTTTCTATTCCTCTGCAATCTCGCCTCCATGTTTTTAAAACAAAGATAAGCATGTGCCTGTTTGTGAACACAGCTGGAACACCAGGTAAGCTCTTCCACACCCACTGGCAAGAGCAAAGCGTAGCTGCACATGTGTGATGCTCCTTTCCCATTACCAGCAAGATGATCCAATTCCTGCTTTATCTCGTGTCCTTATCTATTTACCCAGAAGGCTGGAACCCGCTCCCTCCCTGCACCTGCCTCTTCTTCCCTTGCCCATCCTTGTCCACAGAGGCAGTTACCAGTGCTCGCACGCTGCTGTACGCTGCCCAGGTACAGGATGAGTGCCTTGGGAAGACACTGCTTAGATTGGACAGTGGGCTTCCCTGCTGAGCCCCACCACTGCTGAGCAGAAACCCTCTGAGCCAAACTCTTGCATCCTCCACAGAAAGAGATGTGACTTCAAATACCAGTGAGTCTGTAAGGTAAAGGGCTATACAGGACAGCAGGTGGGCATTTCACAGACAAAAAGTACTCTGCCTTCCCAGTGCTTGAGCGAGTTTTGGAAAAACTACTCTATTTCACATGGAGAAGCCAAGACAGAAGGGTAAATGTGAGCAATTCTGTGCCACGGGCCACGTCTGAGGCCCAGCCAGGAACTGAACCTAGACTTGCTAAGTCTCAGTGCCATATACATCCTTCAAGCAGGGTGACTGGGGACAAAAGCACCCTCAACTTTTCAGTGCATGCACATGCTCAGGATTTCCACTTTCCACCACCCTTCTTGTCAGTGTTACCATCAGCCACATCTCCCAGGGGTCTAGAAACCTGCTCATAAATCATGCTGCTTAAGAAAAGGAAACAAGCTCGCAGATGTGCAGGTACAAAAAGCTGTTTGCTTTCACAAACCAATGTGTTTCTGGGCACAGATGGCTGCATGCACAAAGATGACAGGTTCATGATCAAAGGCTATTTTTGAAGATGTGGGCCTATCCGCAATGACATTAGGAATCAAAGAACTAGAAAGCACACGCCTCTGACCTCAAATGGAAACAAGATCATCAGCTGATAAATGCTCCACCAAGAGACCCCTTAGTACTGGGGCAGTTCTAATGACAAGTTTCTCATTTAAATGTTATTTTGCTCTCTGGAAAGACTGAAAGCAAGGACAGACAGAGAATGACCTGCTTCAGAAGAGCTCTTTGATCACCTGCACCGATAGCTGAAGAGAAAAGCAGCAAGAATCCAATCTCTTTGCAAGCACTCTGCTTGCTTGGCACGTCAGATAACAGGAAGCAGAGCCTGCGTGGAGAGGCACACGAGCGCACGCTGCCATCAGCTCCCCTTCAACCATTTCAAAGGGCTCCCCCTGCTCCCCCCGAAACACGACACGGCAGCACTTCCTGACAGATGTCCAGAGGATCCCGCAATGACCACAGCATCCTGCTGCCGCTCTTAAGAAACCAGCCCGGGGCTGCAGCTCATGACAGCGAAGGGCAGATTTGCTCAGCGCTCGGCGTGCCCCAGATCTTAGAGCTGAACAATCACAGCTGGCAATTTCTGATGAAATGATTTCTTGCCAGAAAAAAAAAAAAAACTAGATTTGGTGAAATCTTTTGGCAGAAACGTACTGGTTATGATGAAACATTAGCTGAAAGACTTCTTAGGTTGGATTTTCTAGTGATGAGAACATGCTGTTGGGGGAGAGAAACCCACGGCAAAATATCCAAGTAGCAAGGAAGCAGCTCAGGCCCCTAGGATACAAGATATCCTTGTTCGTCCTACCCTCTCCCAAGTCAGACAACAGTGACCTATTACCGAGCAGGTTAGTGACCAAACCACCACCAGCCTACACTGGCACGGGGCTCTGTCAAACTCAGTCACTGGAATTGCCCCACTTTGAATGAGAGATCTGCTGGAGGCTTGAACCGGGGAGTCCCCTAAGCAGGTACACAAATCACAAGGCCAATCCAGGCATTCAGCTCTTCTCCACTTTTTTTGGCGACGGGTGAAGGGAAAAAGACTGCATTTGTCTTGATTTTATTTTTTTAATCTTCCTGTTTTCTACCACATGAAATTTTCACTCCCTAAGAAAACTGTTCCCTGTGCAGCATTAATCAGATCATATAACCTCCCAAAGATGAAAATGGCCACAGGGAATAGAAGCCTCCTATCTACTCAAGCAGGTTTACTACGACAGCTTCCATTTCTCACAAGCCAAACTCCATGTGAGGTGTTGCTCTCAGGTGCAATTTATAGGCAGGACACTGGAGATGAGGATTTCAATATTTTAAAGACTTTATTTAATGCCTCAAGCTAGCTTTCCAAGACCAAAGGATCAGAAAATAACTTAAACCTGAGCAGACTAACAATGCAAGGGAAATAGTGAATCCTTGACAGGCTCTGAATTTATGACACTGAAATTCTGGAGATTGAAAGGATTTCTACATTACAGTTAGGACCCACTACTGCTGTGAGAGGCTTCAGTAACCAAATGCACTGAAGCAGAGAAAAGCTATTGCTATTTTACAGAACTGAGCTTCAGAGATGCCCTGGACACGTACAGCATCAGCCTCAGCCGTACCCATGCTCCTACCTACTGCAGCTGCAGAGCAGG